GAAGTTTAGCGACTGCACGCAATGCCGCTAGAAATTGACATGTGCCTGGTGCATTGTTATTTTTGGTAAGATTTAAAGCGCTTCAGCGAGGGTCGTCATATACTAGCAATGGGCGATATCTGGCGTGAGTGGAAGTCGGTGGCCGATATCCGCCAATATTTATCCGTACGGCACCTCGTGCCAAAGTGGCACATCCGCCTACTCCGTAGTGTGCAGTAGTCTAAGTTAGTCTTGCACTCTTGTTCGGGATTCAGGACTTAGGTCTCTTTAGCAAATGTAACTTCATCAACCGCTAATCCTGTTCTGTTCTGGGTTAATTTATCATCCCTACCTTGTCTGATTTCCGTCTGGCGCGATGGAAGGCAGAGTTTTGCTGCACCTCTGGGTATTTATACACGCATACCTTCTTCCCCCGACTAGAATTCTTTACAGTGGCTCCTGATCTGCCGGCACAATGTCCGAAGTAAAGTCCACTGAACCGGGCGTAACCTCCTCCTCTCATGATGGAGACTTTATACCCCCAAGGCCAGCCAAAAATATCTGGTCCAGAATCTACCATGACCCGTGGTTTCAAGTGTCGTTGATTTCATTTATTTCTTTCTGCAACCCGGGTATGTACAATGCCCTCACTGGCATGGGAGGCTCTGGCCAGGTAGACGGCACTGTTGCTGCGAATTCGAATGTCGCGACGCATGCATGCACCGCTGGCGCAGCCCTGGTCCTAGTGGGCGCATTCTACAAATACCTTGGTCCTCGACTATCTCTCCTGATCGGAGGGTGGACCTATGCTCTCTACGCAGGGTCGTTATTGCACTTCAACAGAACGTCAAACGGCGCATTCGTCATTGCCGCTGGAGCGATTCTAGGTCTTGGTGCCGCTTTCTTTTGGGTGGCCCAAGGTACGATCATGGTTACCTATACCAACGATAACACGCGTGGGCGAGCTATCGCGCTCTTTTGGGTGATTTTCAACCTCGGAGGAGCTATAGGCTCTCTTGCCAGTTTCGGGCTAAACTACCACTCCAAGTCTGGCACCGTGACCGACTCCACCTATATCGCCTATATCGTGGTTATGCTGTTTGGGTGGGCTCTGTCGGTGTTTGTGTGCTCGACGGAGTCACTGTCTCGCAAATACCACGGCAGCAGGATCTCCCAGGACTCCAAGGCCCTCAATTGGTCCAACCTCCAGCGCACGGCTATGGAGACCGTCAAGATTGTTTTCGACTGGAGGGTTATGTGTCTATATCCGATGTTCTACAACGCCAACGTGTTCTATTCGTATCAACAGAATACCGTCAACGGCAAGACCTTTAACCTGCGCACACGCTCGCTCAATGGCGCATTGTACTGGATCGCTCAAATGGTCGGAGGGCTTCTGATGGGCTCTGTCCTGGATCTTAAAGGGATCAACCGCCGAGCCCGAGCATGGATTGGCTGGGGAGTGTTATTTGTCACGGGAATGGCGATCTGGGGAGGAGGCTACAAGTTCCAGCTCTGGAATGACCAGCGCATGGCGCTTGGTTTCAAACAGGATATCGACTACAAGGCGGGTAGCCAGTATCTCGGCCCGATGTTCTTGTACTTCTTCTACGGCGCCTATGACTCGTTTTGGCAGTCGTATTGCTACTGGATTATCGGGGCGCAGTCCCGGAATCCTGTGGTCAACGCTGTGATTGTTGGTACGTACTCGGCTCTGAAGCCTGCGGGGGGAGCCATGGCCTGGCGAATCAATGCGAACAAACTCAATCCCATGTCTGAGTTTGCTATGAACTGGGGACTTTGCATTGGTAGCCTGGTGGTGGCAGTTCCTACTGTGTTGACGCTCAGAAAGGGGAAAGACAGTGCGGAAACAGACCACTGCTGAACCGGTGGGCAACTAATGGATACCTGCCACGAGGCGCTTTGTGAAGGAGAACTATTCATCAACAAGAAGTGGTCTCCCTGGTGCAATTTTTGGTCATTGTTCCCGTCAAACTGGCGACAGATTATGTATACAGGGTTCAGTGGCTTTTGATGCCCTCATAGTAAATAGATAAGAGATTAATATACGCCGTGCTATTTAATACACGATACTGCAACCATCCAGGGTCTAGACCCACAAGCCGCTCTTTAGTTGGAGAGCATTGGTATTAGTTAATAGAATAGCGTTATGAATATCAGGTTAGACTAATGTTATTTAGTAATGGTTTTCTTAACTCGCGTCAGATTCTCCACGAATGACGACTTCGAGTTTGCTACGCGTCGGGAAATGATATAGAAGATCCAGGCTGATTAGGGCTGCAAACGGACCAGCCGAGATGCGGGGTTTCGTAGCCGAGATCCACCGAGAGCGGAAGTCGGCCGGCGTCTCGGGGTCTCAATTTCTGTCCTGCATGGGTGCCTCAGGCGCTAGCAGATTGTCACCTCGTATAAGAAACTGTTCTGGACACCGATCTCCTCGCGCGCACTAAACTTCGTCCTTACGACCCACCTTATAGTGTCGGGCCATGGGCGGGTCGAGGAAGCCTGCTAGTTGCCTGATCTGCCGCCGGCGGAAAGTACGTACTAGCTTCAAGCCCTATAACCAACACGTGTCTAGTAATCTTCTTTCTCTAACTTCAACGCGCATTAGATCAAATGTGACCGCAGTGCGGGCTTTTGCAGAAACTGCCGCAATCTTGGCGAGCAGTGCGTATATACAACGGATGCTGGCACGGATACCAACGTGACAGACGATGGACCTACATCGAGCGATTCTGTGACGCAGGCAGGGCTCAAGCGCCGACGGGTCCTCCGGTCTTGTTTAGAATGCAAGCGAACAAAGTCCAAGTGCTCGGGCGGCTCGGCATGCACCCGATGTACTAAAAAGGGTCTGCACTGTTCTTTCTTTGAGGAGGAACCGATCTCCCGAGAGGAGGCTTACGTTCAGGGGTCATCGCATGCGATCCCGACATGGCTGGTCATGAGGAATTTGCCGCCAATCGATCGGGTGCGAGAGCTGATTGACATTTACTTCGCTCAGATCCATACAGTCCGCTGCATGGGCTTCTTGCATATTCCGACCTTCATGGAGCGCTTCAAGGACAGAAAGACGATCTTGACCGAGATGCCTGGCTTGATATATGTCATGTGTGCATTGGCTGCCCCATTTTACTGTGCCAGGGTGATCGCTGCTAAGGAGGATGGTCCTAGCCCTGCTGTGCTATTCTTCGATACCGGCAGGGGCTGGGCGGAGGCGGCGTTGCAATGTATGTTTTCGAGCTTTGGGAGTCCGCGAATCGAGTGTCTTATTACTGGGATCCTGCTCCATGAATATTACCTGAGAGTCGGCGATTATGCCAAGGGATTCCTTATCTCAGGCTTCATCGCGAGACAAGTTCAACTCCTACAGCTGAACATGGAGTACGATGACGACGTCCTGTGTCGGAAGAGTAAGATGTCATGGGCGGCGAAGGAGACCAGGAGACGCGCTCTATGGGCGTGCTATCTCCTCGATGCTTCCATAGAATGTGGCATCAACCAGCTTTGCCTGATACCGTCCGGCGATATTTACGTGCAGCTCCCCTGCTCCGAAGACCTGTTTGTGCGTAACACCCCCTGCAATACAGAAATGTTGACCAGAGGCAAACTGCTTCCCTTCGCTGACTCCTCAGCGGTGGGTGCGGCGGGGAATCTCGATCTCCGTGCATACTACATTAGAGCGATGGCTATCCGTTCCAAGATCTTGAAATATGTCAAGCACTTGGAGGGGGAAATCCCCTGGGAAGTCACTGAAAGCTCCCAGTTTCATAAACTCGACCGTGAAATCAGGGAGCTCGATGCTTCCATCCCAGACAGTCTCAAAATGTCTTCGGAAAATGTATACATCTTCAAGGCGTCTGGCCGCTTAAACTTGTTTTTCGGTGTACACATTCTCATTGCCCAGACATTCAACGACTTGTACCGTATTGGCGTATCAAGACTGGTCTTCCCGAATACTGCGACTAAATGGATACGGGACAACGCGCCGGTGGATTTCATCAGACTCTGCCATCGAACCTGCATCAGCAAGGCCGTGTATATTGGATCCTTACTGAAAGACCTCTGGAATTGCCACAAGTTGAGCATTGTCGACCTTCCCTACGCGGTACATACGCAGATATGTAGCAGCGTCCTGGTCACCAGCCTGTCGTCATGGAGGGAACCCGAATCCCCGCTCCCTCACCTGTCCCACAGTGACTACAAGGGTCTATTGCAGACCAACGTCACAATTCTGAAGTACCTACAAAGGTACATCAAGGCAGACCTATACTACGAGTCAGCTACTCAAGCGCTAAGGCACTTCAACACACGATTCTCCCACGAAACCCCCGAACGCAGAGCAACTGGCTCCCTAAGAGAGACCAGTCCGATAGACAGTAGCGATCAGACTAGACCGTCCCAATCTTTGGAGCATATCTTGAACCCCCTGGGTACGTATCCCATGGCCCGCAAGCAGGTCCAACACTATGATCAGCAACATGCGCTTGATGGGACATCAGACCAGCCGTCAGTCCCACACTCAGATATCGGGGCCTCGTGTCCATCCGCCGCGGACAATCCTGCGACTGGGGATGGATTCTTGGGCTTCCAGGACCAATCCTTCTTCAGCCAATTCCCGGACTGGGCACCCGACATTCCAATCATGAGTGACATAGGATATCCTACATTCTTGGATCAGTACCCTGTCAGTATTGGTGATGGGACCCTGACAATCTAGTATTAGACTTGTTGGAGGAACTCCTTGAACGAGTTCGGGTAGATTATGTACATAAGTTGAACCCTCGACGCTGTTTCCAATAGAACACCTGTATCATACTGTGGATGCCGAGCAGAATCCCGCCGAGCCGAGTGGGGCCCCTGAAAGGTCTTTAGGGTTCCGGGCCCGAGAGTCCATGAGGTCAATGAGTCAAACCGCAGGACAAAAGAAGCATTTAATCCCCATCTTCCCCACCATTCATTCCCACCTCTCAAACAACATTCCATTCGATTCAACCACCATCATGCCGCAAAGTCTTCGCTTCGTCACCCTGGACGTCTTCACCACCGAGCCGTTTCTAGGCAATCCACTCGGCGTAGTATTTCTCCCCAACTCGCCCGAACATGCCATCACGCAAGCGCAAAAGCAACTCATAGCCCGGGAATTCAACTACCCGGAGACGATCTTCGTGCACCCGCACTCGCCGTCCGACACTACCAGAAAGATCGACATCTTCACCACAGCCGAAGAGCTCCCCTTCGCGGGCCACCCCACCATCGGCGCCGTAACATGGTTCCTGGAGCTCTCGCCCGACTCCGCCGACCGCACGAACGTGGACACCCTCATCACGAAAGCGGGTCCGTTCGCCATGGCCCGCGTCCCGAACGCGGGCGGCGCTGTGGCCGCCAGAATCGCGCATAACGTGCACATCCACTCGCGCCGGTTCCCGCTGGTGGAGCTGCTGCGGCTTCATCCTTCGCTGGGGGAGTATCTTGGTGGCGGCCATGACGGAGCGAACGAAGAGGGCTTCCCTGTCTTCTCGATCGTGAAGGGCATGACTCAGGTGCATGTCCAGTTGCCCAGTTTGGAGGCGTTGGCTGCCGCGGAAGGGCCTGTGAGTGGCGAGGTTGTTCCTTGTAATTCTGTTTCAGCCGGTGGGTATCTGGATGCCGGGTGGGAGGGAGACGGGCTGATTGTAGTCTATTTCTTTGTCCCGGGTGTTTATGATGAGAAGACGGGGAAGACGGTTATTCGGTCGCGCATGTTCTTGAGGAACTTTGAGGATCCGGCCACGGGGAGTGCGGCCAGTGGACTGGCGGCGTATTTGACCCTGACTAGGGCGAGGGAGTCGAGCGACATCGCGTTTGATTATGATATTGTGCAGGGGGTCGAAATGGGGAGGAGGAGTGATATTGGGGTTGCTGTTACGGTGGATCGGGAGGATAGAGCCAAGGTAGAGAGCGTGGAGCTTCGCGGCACTGCGGTCCAGGTTACGTCGGGTGAGATTAGGGTTTGATCTGAGTAGCTTTGGCAGGTGTCACTCAGTGGCTTGTTATATAGTGGTATAGGCAAGCTAGCCAAAAGTGTGGAAGTCCATCTTTAGGAGACCCTCTAGCGCTTGATTCACTGAAAGAACCGGCGGAGACAATCGTGAGTCGTGGCAGATCTCTCAGAGTGCGTCTTTCTCCTTCGCCACTATGGAAGACCATAAAGATATCTATGATTTCATAGGGTGAGGAGTCTACTTTGCAATGGACAATCTCGACTGTATTCAGAGACGCAAAACCCGGACATGTTGGTATTTACCCGTGTGGCATCTATTAACTATGATACATGATAAGCCCCACGAAGTCAATTATGACGGCGAGATCTGCTTAGTAGTGTGCTATACGGTTCTTGGTCGCAGCGAATCCTTCAATCTCCACCTCGACGACGTCAGAATGTTGGAGGAGCTCCTTTCGGAAGAAGCCTACCCCAGATGGGGTTCCAGTCATGATGATGGTGCCCCTACGGAGAGTCGTCCCACGAGACAGATGACTGATGATCTGCCGAACCGTCCAGATCATGTCCCCCGTACTGGTTTCCTGCTTCACCACGCCATTGACCCTGGTAATCAATTTCAGCGCTTGGGGGTCGACAATCTCGTGCGCTGCGACGATGGTATGGCCAATTGGTGCGAATTTGTCCATCGATTTCGCAAAGCAAAACTGGCCCCCGCTGGCCTCTGGCAACTGGAAGTTTCGTGCAGAAAGGTCATTCCCAGCTGTATATCCCAGGACGTAGTCTAGGGCTTCAGATTCCTCAACATCCTTCGCATCTTTCCCAATGACAACGGCTAATTCACCCTCGAAGTCAAGTTGATCGCGCGCGTCGGGGTGGATTTCGATCTTCTCAAACGGTCCGGCGAGCGAATCTGCTGGCTTGGTGAAAACTACTGGATATTTGGGAATTGGTAACTGTTGATAAACACTGTTAGCATGAAATGGTCTGTCTGGTGGAACAATCATGGCCCACGCTTGCTTCCGTTGCGTGCTGTCTGTAATTTACCCCGATGCATTGCACGATCGGCGTGCGTTCGATTGGGCATTCGAGCTACATGATGTACATCAGCTACTAACTTTTGGTGTAATTTGGCAGCTAGCATACCGAGCCAACGGTTAGAACATCTCCTGTTTTCTTGGGACTGGTAGAAAGACTCCCTTCCAATCTCCTAACTGTGTATTTATTTCCGACCACGTTGATAAGATCCCCATAATGGATCCGTGTGCGGTAGTTAAAGCGAACCAATCTCTTGAACACGGACATGATGGGTTCGTTGTTGCGATCCTCCAATCTGAAGTAGAGGACTAACGGCTACCGTATGAACTTCATACAGGATTTCGGTACGGAGTATGATAAGGCGTGTCGTGGGATTTATGGGAGATGTGGGATCAATGCTTGTCACCATTCCAGCGCGATCATAGTGCACGAAAAGGCAGCCAGACACCGTCATCCTTCAATATATTCCTTGGGATTTGCGTCTATTTTAAGCTCATGTGGCTCTTCATCAATACTCCGCTTCTAGAGTTCAGAGACGGTCGATTTCACAACACCGTAGGGCAATCTCACACTCAGGGCAGTGGGCTCAGTTGTGGCAAGTGCACGTGCAAGTCTTCTTAACATAACCCCCCAGTACCATAGACTACTCAAGTATAAAAGCAGACTTAATATTTTTGTGATTAAGGCAAAGGCTGCCAAGCACTCCTTGACTACTAGAAATGATACTTATACGTCCTGTTAAACTCAAAAGTGTATTCACACAGCCGGCAGGACCTAGTTGAATGGGTCGAATGATCACTTAGGCAATCAGAGGGTCCACTTTCGCATCAACAAGACCATAAGCGGGCGGAGCTCAGATATTCAGTAATCATATGGTCACTGGCCAGCGTAATATCGATAAAACATGCTCTGATTGATCGAGTACGCCGAAGACACCAAGAGGATGTACGATCCTCGAGAGATAAATCAAGTAGGGGACAAACGTCGGTTAATCATTTACGCCAAAAATGCAGCAGGAACGTCAGGGCCCCAAACAGCCAATGACTCTGACCCAGCCTGTACATATCCAATCGGCGTATGTTTGTTGACCAGGTCTCCATCAGCGTAATGCTCAACCATATTTCCAGTGGTGTCCCACCAGTAGTCAAAGATCTGAGATCCCAGAACATGGCGACCAATTCCCCAGACTGACTCATAGCCCTTCTGAGCAAGCCACTGATGGCCCAGGTGTTGCGTGTCATAGTCGTGGACCTCAAAGGAGCAGTGATGGACATGAGCTGCTTGAGGATTCGCGCTCAGGAAGAATGAATGGTGATCTGACATAGCTTCTCCGAGATCAATGTGGGCGAACATGGTGACAATCTGTCTTTTGTTGTCCTTCTCAACATACAGAAGGTCTGTCGGGACGATGTTGAAGGTCGAAGTGTAGAAACTCAGCAATGTGTCAAACTGCTGTGTACAGAGTCCGAAGTGGCCCAGCTGTGTGATTATCAGCAAATGCAACGAAGACAGGGCTCGAAAAGAGAACTCCCTACCTTATGAACAGCAGCAGGCCCGGTTTCGAATCGGTTGAATTTTCGCTGACGAGATTTCTCGTCTGTGTAATTCAAGATAATATGTTCAGGGTATTTTGTCTCGGTCGCAGGTGTTGTTTGTCCATAGACAACATTAAAAGGGAAACCCTCTGGATCAGTGATGGTCACGATAGAACCTCCCCCAGGCGCGTCGCCTAGATCTTGGACGGGACCGGCACTTGGGAGCTTCGAAGCCCTTCAAAATACTTGTCAGATCTCTTCCCTGCAGCAGAGAGGGGAATCAGCAGGGAGATTGTTGAAAGCATACTTATCAAATTCCTCTTGGCTCTGCGCTACAAAAGCACCTCCCAGAAACTTCTTAGGCCCCTTGCGGGCATAGTAAACATACGGATCGGGCCCATAGCCTTTGAACCAGATCTCCTCTTCTGTTTTCTTCGCAATCTGCATTCCAAAATCTGAGACAAGTCAGCCGTGGTCCACGAGTACCGAGGCATATCGGAGAATTACCAAGCATGAAACGCTCGATCTCATCCAGAGACGGGTGCTGATATCGCATATGACCTAGCCTTTGCAGATGAACGCGGTCTGTGGGGTTGATTTGTTGCATCGCGAGCCAAGCTGACTGCGACTCCGTATCCGCCAAAGCGACGGTATCTGGGATCGATGCCCCATGGTTTGGTGTCGGTGCGGTAGCCATTGTTAGATCAGATGAACATAGACCTCTTGTCAGTGTCTATCGCTGAAAATGGGCTCGACAGTCACTTTATACCAAGCATGATGTATCCCAATCTCGGAACGGTGGGGCTAATATTGGCACCACAGCCAAGATCCCGAACCATTGTAGTCCCCACTGGTGACGTTCTATATGCACGTATAGACCTGGATATATGTTGTACTGAAAGGTGGCTTTTTGCCACGGTGTCGACACGGTGTTATCTACGTGGGGTTGCTGGCGATCCTACTTCTGGGAGAGGCAAAGGAAAAGATACATATACCGAATGGCCACTTTTCTGTCGTCTTTATCCGTTATTCCGGGAATCCGCTTCGAAGCTTCATGATAGATCCCACCTCCGAGCCTGGCTCATCTTAGATGGCTACAAAACAGCAGAATGCCCCATAAACAGACAGGGAAGCTCGTGTGGATCCCGATATCTGAGATCTAAATCCAAACAGCCACTGTTCCCACGTTGGAGTTGGAGTATGAAAGATTCCTTCTCATATAAGAACTGCTTCCACCTGAACAAAAGTTTTGGTTTTCACTTCGTGTTCACCACCCCATCAGAAATCTCCCTTGAATTGCTTGAATCTTGAATTCCATTATGGCATCTTCAGACGAGTACGAAACCACAGACATTCTGGTTTGCGGCTGCGGCCCTACTGGTGCCATGTTATCAGCCTACCTCGGGCGACTGGGAGTGCCAAATATTGTCATCGAGAAAGAAGCCGCCATCACCACGGATCCTCGTGGTATCGCTCTGGATGACGATGGCATTCGATATCTACAAGGTCTTGGCTTGTATGAGCATATTTTCACGGAGATAGGTTCCTGTAAGTTCAAAGTATGCTCAGTCAACCGTACTCCAGTCTGACCAGCCCAGGTATACAAAAGGTCCGATTCATCAGCGGTAGAGAGCAGAATCTGCATAAGGCGCCATTTCTGCAATTTGACACGGCGTCGGTAAGTGACCTGTATTCCAAGCGAATTTGCAGACCTGTGGGTAACGATTCTCAAGTCAGAAGGAAATACTGGGCATATTGGCGTTATTGCCCACAAACAGCCGGTCCTCGAAAAGAACCTTCGGTCGGCTGTCGAGGAAAGCAATTTCTGCGAGCTGAGAAGCAGCTGCACGTTGACCGCGATCTCTGAGGATGAGCAGTGGGTGTATGCGACATATACTGATGCTTCGGGCGCAGAAAAGAAAATACGCTCCAAATTCCTCGCTGCCGCGGACGGCAAAACTGGCTTTACGCGAAAGATGTATTTGGAGCCTAAGGGAATCCAAATGGAATGGGCCGAAAAGTATAAGCTAACTCTCTCTGAAGCGCCCAGATTCAGTGTACTGACAAGAACTCAGGTCGAAATATCAAGAAACATGGGTTGCCCTGAACTGGAAGATACAGCTGCCTTCGCAGAAAAGTCACCCTACGTTCCCGCTTTGGGGTCAGGGATATACCCCGGAGGACGTCTACGATCTTTTCTTCCCAACAGACTTTCGCTTCCTTTGCAATGATGAGCGACCTGCTGTATGCGGGCGTTTTGGCCTTCCTGAAGACCGCCTTTGGCGATTTGAGTTTGTGGTGGCAGATGGAGAGGACGATAATGAAATGGCTACGAAGGATAAAGTACGGGAGGTGGTATTGCCCTACTTGACTCTCCCTGGGAGCCGATTTGGGTGAGTTGGTCATTCCTTCAGTTGAGGACCAATATTCCTTGTGCTAATGTGGCGACCTAGACTGCAAGAGGACGTGAGCTTTCCCGAAGACTGTATCGAAGTTCTGAGGTCCAGGCCGTTCCGTTTCTCTGCCAGAAGCTGTAATCAGTGGGCGTTGAACCGGGTCATTCTTTGTGGCGATGCAGCCCATGTGTTTCCACCATGTATGATTTCACTATCCATCCTTCTTGAAACAATATTGACAAATTCTTCTAGTTGGAGGGCAAGGAATCGCCTCTGGGTTCCGTGACGCCATTGCGCTGTCCTGGCGTCTCGCACTGATCTGCAGATCTCAAACCCAGCTGGACTACCGTAGCCATCTGCGAGGGTGGTTCTTGGAGAGAAAGCAGCAGCTGGATGCTTCCTTAGCCGCGACCGTTCGCAACGGGGAAATGGTCGCTGGCAAAAGCTTTGTGCACGACTTTGCCCGCAACTGGGGCTTATGGCTTATCCAGCTGATTCCCAACTTCAAGCACTGGCTTGAGCTTGGCCCCCGGGGTGACGGTCCCATGCAGTACACGCACCTCCCAGGGATGCCTTTCATGCCGGAGTTGAAAGGCGGCCTTTGCTTCCCTCAATCATATTGTGTCTCCTTGACCCAAGGCCCCGCCGTGCACTTTACTGACGATGCCATCTTTACGGGGAAATCAGGCTTATTCCAACTGGTTGTTTTGCTTGACAACCCTGGTGAGTTGGACGATGCCAGGACGCACCTGCAGAGATTCAGCCACAGAACCCCTCTGCTTTCGGCCAGTGAGGCTACCTTTTTTGTGCCTCGTACTGCTTGCGAGGAGATGAGCTCCAAAGAAATTTCTGCGCTGCCACCAAACCTGTTCCGCACTGCTACGGGCGATGAATTCGCGGTATCTCCGCTGTGCAAGAATCGACCAGTGCCGAGGGGATATAATGAAAAGCTCATGTGGGATGTCCTACCTCGGAAACGATATGTCATTGTGAGATTGGATCGCTTTGTGTTTGCGGCTTGCAATTCAACCGCAGAGCTGGAACAGGCTGTGGAGCGCCTGTCTGAATTGTTCGATTGATGGTTACCGTCGGGTGTATACACAAACAGACGAAGCATTGTATACAATTGCATAAATATCTTCGGAGGATTATTCCGTAACGAAATGACTTGAATCTGATGCTTTACAAAATTCCCCTTAAGTAAATGTATACTATTTTCTCAGATGATTTAGGGTTAGTAGCAGAGACTATGACGGTACTATGGCCCAGAAGAGGTTTAGCGCGCCGATCGAACCCCACTTACCCCACCCTCTTCTATGTGTTGTTACTGAAGAAATGACAGTCAAGTCGCAGCAGTAGAGGCTGCAGATCTTGAGCTCCGACCTCTTCAGGATTAGTTACAGATATGCAAGACGAGTGCGATATACACACTTCCATGCAAAGCCCCGAGCCATCCTCCGTCAACTCAGACGAAGGGGGATTCAACACACCAACACATGACACCCAATCCCACTTCTCCAGCGATGAGTACAGCGCACCACAATACGACGGCACCATGCCTAGATACATAGACCCCAACCTCGACATACCGCACTACACAAGGGTGGACGAAAGTGCAGTGGGGGTGTGTCCCTGGAAAGGAGGCACGTACATCATCCGCGACCCGGCGACCAAGCTCGTCATCGCCCTAGAGAAAGGTGTGTTGGGCATGTACCCTGAGATATACGAAGTGGACGGTCTACTATACCAGTCTGGGCGCGGCAGTCACTGGCACTGTGTGGAGAACGACCGGATGTGGCTTGGCTTCTGTAACGCGGTCTCCGGGACATATATCGGCCATAATAATCGGAAGAGCAACTGGCGGTTTCAGGCCAAGGCCGAACGGCATGATGAGTGGGAGTGGTTTTGCGTGCGGCAGCACCCAACTGGTGGGCATATTTTGCTGGTGAAGCACTGGAGCGAGTTCTTGCCGATGCGAATCGGGGGGGAAGGCGGCCGGGAGTTAACGGTGGATGCGAAACGAGAGGGTGGTACCGTCTGGGACTTTATTAGGGTTGGGGAGGAAAAGTGAGCTAGTGGTATTCAGGTATACGGAGCTTCAGAGAGGGTTGGGATTTGGAGCTCAGTGGAAGTTTGCTTGGCTGCCGATCTGAACCGTTGGCTATCTAATATACAGCTGCAATTGGGTTGGATTTGCATTCAAATATGGGGCTTTAATCAATTAAACTGAACTAATATATTCTATCTGAAATGAAAAAGCTAGTCATGGTCTGTCTCTCCCGATCTATCTTACGGGAAAGACTATTGCAGTGAACAGTTATAACAACCAACAGACCCTTCTAGACACACTTTTTCTTGACAGAGGATTAATTGAGGCCATGGTCTGACGCTTTCTGTATCTCGCGCGTCTTTCGCGACCTCCTAAATGCAGCGAGTATGGGCATATAACCTACGAGCAGCACTAATCTTTCGTTATTTCTTCTTTTAGTTCATAAAATCACTTTCTCCTATCCTACGGGCACGCTATATTAGTAGCTAATCGCTTATAGTATTTAACACTCTCTATTTATAGTGTTTGGATAGATTGATGGTCCTATTATATGGTCGAATCGATCAACAGTAACTAACCAGTAACCGAACTTTATTGCGAGAATATACGTGACACGACTTGGTATACTTCTCTATCCTCCTTGCACTTCGCGGCAATTGCTGGATTGGATCGTATGAATTTAATAATTATCGGAGCACAATTGTGAATCTATATCTTCATCTTCCGAGCTATGATCTATAAAATAATAATTCAATCTTTCAATCTTATTCCACTTCTGAGTGAGCCTTGGGTCATTTCATTCATGCAGAGGTCGCCTCTTTAGCAAACGTCTCGAAGAGTGTCTGAAGACGACGGCCTTCACTATCCGCAACGTCGGAGTAACTAGCAGCAGCGCCGAAGGGGTGGTACGGAAACGGTCTAGACATCGGCAAATACGTTAGCAACGCACACAAAGTGTCTGGACAGGAAGAAAAACGCATACCCGTATTCAGGGACAAAAGTCACTGGAGATGACGTCTGTTGGACAATTGACTGGATAATCTGTTTCCAGGAATTCTCAAAGAACCGCCGTTCCTCGGTGAACACGTCGTTGGTTGGGTCTGGGCATTGTGACGATTGCGTGGTTCCGATTCTTGCGTGGATATGGGTCACCTAGCGGGGAGTATGAGTTATAATTGGACGATAGCTTGTATTGGGAGAGGAAACCAACGCGAGGAATGATAGTGCGCAGAAGTTCCTTGTCCTCCTCGCCCTGGTCCAGGAGGCGTTCACAGACGACAACGAAATGGGAGAAGTCGGCTGTGACTTGCAGACTTGGGTCGTTGTTAGCGGACTTGTCTTGGGTATTTAACTGGACATGGCTTATAATACCTTGGGACTCTTTTTAAGACTGCTGCGGTGGAGTAGGGGCTGAAAAAGGCCCGGTTTCTATGAGTTTCGTGGCTCACCATGCCGGCCAGGCCGAGCTCGGCATCGATGGCGAGAGTGCCCGTGAAGAATTCCACAGCCTGGTTGATCGACCACCCGTCACTGTTCTCGTGGTCAATGCCATCTCCCATTGTTCAGCATGGTTTGGGAACCGTACTCGCCGGAGTGTGCATTAATCTTGAACGGCTTAAGCGTCTTGGCGATCTCGAGCTGGGCTCGATAGTTCGTAAGATGATCTGTTGGGGTCAGGCCCACCGGCTTTGGGCCTGCATAACAGGGCCATTTAGAATGGATCCTTGGGGTGGAAGGTTAGTTTTGTTCTTGACATATAGTATGTCCGTGAAGGTCAGTTGGACGGCAGTTTCATGTGCAAGATACTCACATAACACAGATTTCTAGGCCGACTGCATCGCAAAGCTGACGGATTGTAGAGATGTTCGGTAGAGGAGCTATGTCAACTTCGATTCCCACTGAGAGCGGACAGAATCCTGTTAGTCCACTGCTGCTACGCCGGAAAAGTCCCAGGTCTCCTACCGTAGCCTTGGTCTTTCAAAGTCGGAAGCCATTTCCGCCAGTTCTCGTAGTTATCACCTGTGTCAACCCCCCACGTGGAGCGGAATCGGAGGATCTGTGACATCGTGGTTGTTCGCGGCGAAGTAGTAACAAGTCTTTGACCCGGCCAAAATGGAAGAGTAAGAATTGACGTTGCCTTCAATACGCGACATCATTGCAGACTGGGGCAGAAGCTTTATTTCTACCTCAAGACAAAAAAGAAGAAAAAGCGTGAGGGGGAGAAGCAAGATCGAAAGAGTAAAGAACCACGCAGCGGGTCCGTTGACGCCATTGTCGCGATTAGGGCTTCGCGACGTCGTCTCGGTGGGGTAATTTTTCCCCATCCAGCCACGGGGAAAGATGCCGAGAATGGCAGAGCGATCTCCACCTCACTTTTACGGAGATTATCCCCTACAGCTTGGCCGTGAGGGGAAACTAATGATACTAAGCAATTATATTCAGCTGATTGTATGGGAATACCATAGTCCGTCCTGATAGCCATGCGGGGTAGCTATTCCAGTATAAAATGCCTATCGCTCGCACCGCGATCTGTTCAAAACGATGCCTGCTTTTGCAACCTGAATTGTCATCTTTCTTCTCTCCAATCCAGTCGCAATGGCCCCAACTACCATGAAAGCAGTGAATTATGTAGGGCCACATAAGGTCCGGGTCCAAGAGGTCGAGATGCCCAAGCTGGAACATCCGGACGACATCATTGTCAAGGTCACAACGGTGCGCTACCATCAATGTCACGCCACAGGGATCCTTACTAACTCATGATCTAGGCTGCTATCTGCGGCTCTGACCTGCAGTAAGTATACTTTGGGGGGTGGGGAGTTGCAAAACAATGTGCACAGAACTCATGGATTGCGCAGCATGTATGAAGGAAGAACTGCCGCAGAGCCAGGCATCACGTTTGGTACGAAGACATGGAAATAACATAGTGGTCGATACTGATGGGTTCCAAAAAGGTCACGAAAACATGGGAATTGTCGAAGAGCTAGGCGAAGGTGTCACACTGTTGAAGAAGGGCGATCGCGTTGTCATGCCGTTCAATGTTGCGGATGGTCGATGCCGCAACTGTGATGAAGGCAAAACGGCTTTCTGCACTGGTGTCAACCCCGGGTTTGCAGGTGGTGCTTATGGTAATACATTGACATGGGTGGCTGAGAGTCCTGTTGGCTAATCACAGGCAGGCTATGTGGCTATGGGCCCGTATCGCGGAGGTATGTGCTTAAATGGGCCCGATGACAAAAATATCGGCGAGTTGATCTGATCGCAATATGAAGGCCAGGCTCAGTACATTCGTGTTCCCTATGCGGACTTTAACGCTCTGCTGTTGCCGCCGGGCACAGAGCACGAAGCCGACTTCGTTCTCCTCGCAGGTTAGTGGCCAGGCCTCATTTACCTCTCTTGTTGCCCTTTTTCCACTAACCAAGTGGTGTAGATATCTTCCCGACAGGTATGACTCCTACGAACCCTTCTACACCAAGCCTTTGTGTTAACGATGAACTATAAGGTTGGCATGGTGTCGAGATATCCGGCTTCAAGTCAGGAGAAAGCATTGCTGTGTTCGGTGCCGGTCCCGTTGGCTTGATGGCAGCTTATTCAGCTCAATTACGTGGAGCCTCTCGCGTGTTCGTTGTAGACCGTGTTCCTGAGAGATTGGCTGTTGCAGAAAAAATTGGCTGCACTCCAATTGATTTCACCAAGGGCGACGCCGTAGATCAGATCATTCGCCTTAATGGCGGAGAGGTCGACCGCTCCGTGGACGCTGTCGGTTACCAGGCTGTAGACACCAGCGGATCGAAGGAGAAACCCAACATTGTGCTTGAGAATATGATCCGTGTCACGAGGGCCTGCGGAGGCATGGGAATTCCTGGACTCTACGTGCCAAGGTTAGCCACCCCGCTGAAACCCTGTGGTGGTTTCCAGGAGCTAATATGCTTTTCCACTAGTGATCCAGGTGCATCTGATGAAGTCGCCGCGAAGGGCGCAATTAGTCTCAGTTTTGGAAGGCTTTTCGAGAAGGAAAGTGCTTTACTCTGACATCGATTGGTTCACATTGCTAACTTGCTACAGGGTCTCTCTCTTGCTACCGGCCAATGCAATGTAAAAGCATATAATCGGTACCTACGAGACTTGATCATTGCCGGCAAGGCAAAGCCTAGCTTTGTCGTCTCCCATGAGATCAGACTGGATCATGCGGAAGTTGCGTACGAGAAGTTCGACAAAAGAGAGGACGGGTATACCAAGGTGCTGATCCATCCAAACGGGGGATTTGAATCCACGACAGTCGGACAGGTCAGTTAAAACATACCGGTCTATGTTCATGGGATATTGTTTGGTGGAGGGTCTGAGTTGCTGAGATAACTGGCAGGTTACGTCAAAATTATGATTGAATGTCTGGAAGTTCCAAGGCGCTGGTTGTCTGAAACCGTTGGGTTAGGGTTTATTGATTTACAATTTATAGATGTTCATTTCTTTGAATGATCTTAGTCTTTCATATTACGTAGTTCAATATATCCAGTACCTACTGTTTTAGGGCCTAGTTGAGGAAACGGCAAAGCCAAAGGGGAGTTCTTCAACAAGGGTAAAGAACATTAGATTGACTCTGTATAATACAGCAAAGGAAACAGTAAGGATAGTCAAATGGTAAGAATACAAGAAAAGAAAATGAAAGGAGGTCCAGGATGGAACTTGATCAGCCGAGCCTAGCGATATGTAGCGGTAGGGGAGTACCTTCCAGGGTGCGCATAGTAGTTAGAGGCGGCCCGTTTACAGGTGTCCGTGTCGCCGATGAGAGCCCATTCGTCGGTGGTGGTGTGCGCGTTTGGTTGGCTGAGTTTCTGACGAGGGGGTTGGAGGGACAGAGGAAGAAAGAGGTGTTGATGAACTTGGTGGAGCCGACGAGGGAGTAGTAGACGGCGTTGGATAAACGGAGGGTGGAATGGGTGAAGATGATGGACGGGCACTGCTGGATGGTGTTGGGCTTCCAGAGGGAGTCGGCGTACTGCTCGGTTCAGGGCCGACAGGGTAGCATTTTGATTCAAGTGGCGCAGTGTATTCCTGTTCGTCCTGGCGGTTAGCCTGCGCTTTCTAGAGTATTACATGCCACATACAGCAAGAATATGGTCAACATCCGGTGCTCCATCGTCCTGGCCAAATGTGGCTTCAAAATTGAGGGTAACACTAGCAGATGGGTCGACCGTGACCCCATTCTGACGGTGCTTGGGGTCATCAGGGCAAGCCCCTTCAGTCGCTGTGATCTGTCAGTAACTGAACCACCAGGGAATGTACATTGGCCAGCACTTACAATGGACAGCAGACATGGTGGCGGCAATAATTGGTTTCAAATTTAAGCCCACCTCGACTCCCTTGCCTATGTTTCTTAGCCTGCATTATTCATCAGTTGAGTGGATGTCTTACCTATCACCTGGACAGAAATCTGCAATGATGCTTTAGGATAGAACTCAATGTCACCCTCGATCTCCGCATCAACCGAGACAGGAGTTGCTTGAACTGAGGGCGTCCAGCCATCCGCTTCCACGCTACGGGATTCAAGGTCGAAGGATACCTCAGCAGAATCATCGAGACTGACAGTAGTTCCAGCCGTGATGGTAGCAGAGCCAGTCACTGGACCCATGTTATATCCGAGACTGAAAACAATCTGAGGTCCAATGTTCAGAATGCCACCTGGAATAGAGATGCCAGCAATGGGTATCCTTCCGATATCGATCTCTCCGGTTTTCTGGTCCTTGATGTCACCATCGATGGCAAGTCGCGGCATAAAGGTGGCTGATACACCGTTAGGGCTCAGACTGAAGCTTCCCGTCTTGGGGATCCCAGCAACAGTCTTCACGTGGAAATTCAGTTCAAAAGCACCTTGAGTGCTACAGTCCGCACAGTCCCAGATAACGTCAATGCTCTCATCTGGAAGCCTTCCGCTTTTCACTGGTATCACGTGGTTGAAGTCCACAGATGTGGATCGGTCAATATCACGCCTTGCTGCGGAAGAGGTCGTGTGTTTGCCTATGTTGAGCTCATAGGTATGTGCGATCTCGTCCCACTTTGAGCTTTGACCCTGAAGCTTGGTGGTCTTGGTGGTCTCGTCATACGTAACACTGGAAACGACGAATGGAAATCGGTTGGCGTTCCATTTGCAGGAGCCTTTTCCAAGTACTACTACAAGACTGTGGTCATCCATTTCATTGATCCATTGCCAGGCGTGCTCCGTGTAGGCAAAAGCTTGCTCCTCTTTGAAGGTCATTGCAACACTGGTGTTGGTGCAGTGCACTGATTCAAGTAGGTTCTCAAACCGCTCCATGGACACAATGTTCTCTTGTTCGCCGGGAAGCGAGACGGTGAAGTTGGCCAAAGATGACTGGCCATTTTGTGCTCCTAAGATTAATGATCATTCATTAATAATGGTTCTCTGGACATCCAAAATCGCACGTACCGCTGTAATAGAACGAGTCCTGCTTGAGTAGATCAAGGTTCGAGTATCCAGAGCCACGCACGGCCAGAGAATGCGGTTCTACTTGCAGGTGACTGATTTCCTCGAATACCAGTGACAGTCCCTGCTGGGCGTGTAGCATAAGCCACGAAGCCAACCAAGCGCGCACAGGATGCATCTTGGATTGTTGAGGCAAGATGGACAATTGGGATGCTTCCTTTCAAACTCGCCATGTTCATCATCAGCGCCTTTATATCATTCTCAATACACTGTTCTTCAAAGACACTCAGGGGCCATGATGAAGTTCGCTTCCATGTAACCTTCTTCCTTTTCCCCTGCAGTAGTTCGTCGTTTCATCGCAAAGGATCGCATATCACAATTTACGAGGCCGTATTGACGAGCCCAATGCTCCACAAGACGAGCTTACAGATTCATATTTCGCTTAAAGACAACCCATCCTCTAGGATTCAGCAATGTATAATTAATAGAGGGCGATTATTATCCTTGTTAGGCAATAAGTGGAGATGAGAAAAACGTTAGACATACGTCGGCTCACTATCGGGAAGGTTGGCTTGATGGTCGGCAGCTTGCCGATAGCATCGGCTCCGCCGACGCCTAAGAACACAATGCCACCCAGGCACCTCGAGATATGTATTTAGGCCATAGATCTGCATAGCTTCAGGAGATTATTGGACGTCAGCAGGCAGAGCTACCCGCTTGCAGCATGTCACAAACGAAAAATAGATCCTTCATCCTTTCGCCCCCATCTTTGATGGGGCTGAGATCAGCTCATGGCTGACTGCAATTACTGGAATTATAGTAAGTCTCCTATCTAGAATACTCAGATGTTCGAGACCTGTGGTCTTTCTGGAATAGAACAATCATTAAACATCTGCAATGTTGCGATAGAATCCAAGCCCTCATGGCTGAGAGTGCTTGCGATGATTAGCCCGTGTATTCCATCCAAGATCGGAGGACTACCTTGGCTACTGACATTTCTTGGTGTGTCTGTACTGCCTGTCGGTTGACTTTATTCCGATCACTCTATCATTAATACTCAAATCTCTATAAGTTGCTATGTGGACATTGGGTGACTCTTCTTATAGCAATCGTGGGGATGCTCATTCCCGCATTTACTGTCAGTTGCTCAGAACACTCTCTCATATGAACTTTCAAGGTTTTCCCTTTGGCGTCTAATCACATGAAAGTATACCCGAGCTAAGTTCTTTTCCTTTATTTTGCGCTTATTTGTGATATTTGTTCTTGGGTCCTGTCCACCAATGGCAAGATTGACAAAGCAGTCTAGGTGACAGATACATATATCCGTGTAGTATACATGATGATCCAGGGTGCCATGTTGAAAAATCTCCACACTACTAGTAGTCTTCACATAGCGATAGCCTTATACTGCCTATAGACTTTCTTTGACTGTAATTACAGTTTTATGGCAAAGACGTAGGATAGTCGTAATTCAGTAAGAATTTGATTGCCCCATTTATATTCCGACTAAGAGCAGGTTAGTACATACGACCATAGGGTGTGGAGAACAGGGCTTCCCGTCCGCTCAGCCGTACTTAAGCCACACGCCGGGAGGTTAGTAGTTGGGTGGGTGACCACCAGCGAATCCCTCCTGTTGTATGTTTTTGTTTTTTTTTTCTTATTTTTGGCATTACTTTCACTCTGGAACTTACCGAAAGGACAGAATCTGCCTGTATTATGCCATTCCACTTTTATTGCTTGCCTGCCCTTTACAGGGATACGCCCAATCTTATACGCCTAGTGCCGGATATATGCATTATCTTGACTGGATCCCACGCCACATTCGGCATTATATCTGAGCAAACCGTTATCCCGTAACCTTTTCTATTCACTTTACATATCAACAAGTATCTACATCGTGATCAATGATCGGCTATCAGATGGCTCTCTGCGGAGTGGCCATTGCCTGAGGCAACGGCCGTTACGATGAGATAGAGATAAGAAATGAGCTCGTATTCCATAGATCATATTACGTCCTGAGCCTGTGTAGGGTGAGAAAATCATGTGTGGAACTGCCAGAGCCACTGTAGCAAAAGCATCACCGCCCGTCTCAGGCCCTATTATATTTTGTATCCAGCTGGCAAGATTCGTAGAAGGAAATGATATACGAACCCCCCCCACAGGGATCAACACGATCTTCTCGCAACCAACCTCTGTAGAGGCTGGAACTTCGTCTCAGCACCGCAGCTTGGCCTATCATACTAGACAGCAGCACCGGTGTATAACTATTGCGGGGTTGATCTCAGCTGGCTCCCCGCCCTTTTCAGCTGAGTCGAAAGGCACTTTCAGCTCGCCTGGAATAAAAGGTCTCTCCACCCTGGGTGAAATACATTGCCAAATTATCTACAACCTACAGTTGAGTCTCACTTCGAATTTTCTTTTCTTTTGGCATTTTTATTTCTCCTGCACGATCCCATCACCACTAGTCTAACAATATCTGACGCCAAGTATAATCCAAGTCTACTTACGAGATAGCTTTAAAACTGACATTATGGCAGATATTCGCACTATTCTCTTTGATATTACAGATGACACGGTTACTATTAATGCCGCAAAGAGATCGCAAGAACATATTGAATTCAATATTTCATACACCGAGTGTAACTTCTCTTTCATGGAGAGACACTGGAGAGAGGCCAGTAAGCATTTGCCAGTAGACGACAACTTCCGCGGCTATGTCAAGGAAATCACTTTTTTGATTTAGATCCTGAATTTAGTCATTAAATGCTATTCTTGTTACACTCTATACTACAGGGGTGGGGCATATCTACTAGACTACCAATTGCACAGTGATTGTTAAGTATCTCGTTAAGGTACATCTAGTATATACACATTAGGATTTTACCTCTATACTAAATCTATTATTCTTATCGTTTTGTCTATCTATTAATTAATAAAAACAAGCTTAATGAATTACTGGTCGAGTATTATAGCATAACCACTATAACCTAGGCATAATCTAATCTAACCGATCTCGGTATCTAACAATCGCAGCCTTCCTTAGCACAGAAGTATAAATGCGCTTCGGGTGAGGAGATTCAGGTGCTTGAAGGGAGCCCTCACTGCTATCTCCCCTCAGATAGCCTTCATTCTAAAAGATTGACATCAACTGCCCGGATGGTCTAGTGGTATGATTCGCGCTTAGTATGTCTACCTTCATCAAACCAAGTTACCTTTCCAATTTACTAACAACTTCTCCAGGGGTTAACCCAAAGCATTGACTGCGCGAGGTCCCCGGTTCGATCCCGGGTTCGGGCCTTTCTTTTTTATTTTTTTGTTTTTCGATTAGAGTGTTCCAGTGTGGGTCGGCGGAAATGAGTAAGTAGTCTCTAGAGTTTCGTCTCCAGAGGGCGTTCGTGTCGAGCATCCTATCCACAATTACAGAAACTCCAGTCTCTGCCGACCGCGAGGTCGAGCGCGGACTTTCCATAACACACCAAGATCTGGACGGTTGTTTCTGCCACAATATCGACAGTTCTTCTACCTTGTCCTTAGGAGAGCCACTACTACGTTTGACAAACAGCTGCAACCAGAGACTAGCCAGAAAATTGTCCATGATCTGAATATCCTGATTTTTGGAACCCCCAACGACGCAATGTCTGCATGCATGCCACACCGCACTTGTGATTTACATTGAACATTCTCCGGAGACGGTCCCCAACGGTCAATCTGTTCATGCACCCCATTAGTGCCTCTCACATGTAGCCATTGCCAAGAAGGACTACTAGGCTTGTATACTCTTACCGGTGCCGGTTGAGATAAGCTTAGCGAGATCCAAGACAGAAGGCATTGAGGCTATATCATACAAAGACCAGTATATAGGAGCATTCCCTTTGCGCTTGAAACATATTACTTGAACACCAAGCTGTCTGGTAGATTTGCTCCAGTCCCCTGTGACCTTCTAAGTCCTGCGGTGAAAAACAATCCTCAACCTCATCAACCCGAGCCTGTTGGAGGCCTAGCTCAAGCTACACATGGTGTCAATGAGCTGGAAATGGTAATTTTCTAGAATGTCTACATTTTTTATATAGAACATCCGATCTTGCAGAGATTGTTTTATTTTAGTATTCATGGGGATTGGCAAGATACCTAATTATCCGTGAGGGATGGCTGAAATACTGCGTTCCCTCTCTCTATATATAACTTCCCAAACTTTCAGCACACACACACTCATACATATGCACATTAAGTATTCACTTCATAGACCATATTTTAAGCACAAAAAGGATATATATATCAGTTAGTTGCATCTAGTGGAAGCTCCATAAAAACCTTCGTATGCACTTTAGCTCACTGAAGCTAACATCTGCCATGAAATCGGGTTAGCTGAGCCAATATTGGCCCCTGATATATGTATCCAATATCCCACATTATGTTGATGACAGCCCCATCAGGAGACAATAAAGGGGGCACTGGTGATCCACCGCAGCATCAAGTCAAACGCCACATCCGGGCGATCTTGAGGAACCTGGTAGAGATCAGACGTCTGCACATTCACATATCTTTATTAAGCAAATCTCACCAAATGACCCGCCCCATCCACTGTCACCAACGCGAACCGTACTGTCTCTCCGTGGCTGTTTCCTCGCACTCGGACTTCTTTGGCTGTCCCAACTATTTCATTCCGGCCAATTGCCGTCGGCATCCAGGGAAGTAGCGGCTTTGATTCGAACGCGACCTGGCCCTTCCAGCGAAGTGCATTGGCCCAGCGTAGAGTTCCGGCTGTATTGCAGGCGAGGTCCAGATTCCCCTGGTACGCAAGGAAGTGGACGCCATGAGAAAGAAGAAACACGACCAGATCGGAGGCGGACGTCATGCCCTCAGGTGTGGTGTCAAAGGCCTGGATCACATTGTCTGAGACAAACTTGTATTCTGTGATCTGCTTGGGGGGCGAGAGGGCGGCCCAGACGGCAGGGGAGTTCAGGTATTGCTGGATATGAGCCACCTAAACATAGCAAATGTCCTCGATCTCGCAAGGGGTGGTGACTGTTCAGAGACTTGCATTAGGTGCCCTGAAGCTGAGGTGTTCGGGGAATTGATTGGCTTACTGTCGAATCGGTTGCGGCCGCCCTCGCCCACCTCGTCCTCGTACCATCCGAGCACCCCCTCGTAGCAGACGGAGTAAGCCGCCTGACAGAGAGCGGGATCTGGATGTCGGACACAGGTTTCGGCGACCTGCATGCACCGCGGCATGTTGGCGGCCATGCGGTCACACCGGGTCTCGTTGAAAATGGGCACAGAAACGCCGGGGTTGGTGGTGCACAACGTTTCCCAGTAGCCGTACATGGAGTCCATGGGAGACATGAAGCCGTTGCCCACCAGGCACGACTGCAGGTGGATCTGGGGCTCTGTGGGATAGCGCTGGTTCTGCTTCAGGATCTGGGTGCCGAGATAGGGGATGTACTTGCCCTGGAGACAGCCGTTAGTTTGATATGCATCGGGAAGGGGTCGTCGGATATTACGGCATATGATTCTCCCGAAAGATGGACGGGGGAGGACCGTTTATGGGGGAAGACCTCGGAGACGAAGAGCTGGAGGAATCGATGCATGTCAACGGTGGCCTCCTGGGAGTCCCGCGGGAGGTCATGGCCCTCATCGATGTAGGAGAAGCCGACATCAACGGGCTGGTCCACAAAAAGTAATGAGGAGTTCCGAGACCAGCTCCACGGATTGGGAACGGTTCCATTGCCATGTTCGTTTATTAAACAAGGGCCAATCTCCTGGAACAGGCCGACCATGCTGGAATAACCGGGTCCACCGGTCATCCATAGGGTTAGCGGGTCATTGGCTGGGTCGTTCTGGCTTTCAAAGTACCAGAAGAACAGGTGTTTGGCTCCGACATCCAGCCATCCCGTGTATTGAGCTGAGTCCGCATCGCAGATTGACTCGTTCTGCTGTCGTATCCGGACCGAATGGGAGGGTGAATATGGGCTCTGGAAGATGGCAAAGTCGCCGACCGCGAAGGTCTCTGGTCGCAGCACCGTCTGCGCGGCGTATCCCACGCCAAACAGCGTGGAAAACAAGAAATTCCGCATTGTATATGATGACTTTACCTTGAAGATACGAACGACGGTGGTGATGTGAGGAGGAAGGCACAGCAGGGAGGATGGAGGTAGTCAAGCTTCCGCTGGCTAACCCTTAACTACGACCAGTTCACCGTTACATCGCATATACCCGCCATAACGTCGCCCTCACCGCTTGCATCCACACGACGAAAGTTTAACTAAATCACCAAATGCGCTTAAAAACTCAAAAGAATCAATTTACAAGGAGGGCTGAGTTCTACTTGCAATCTGTGGTATTCAAAAGGAAGGAATATTCTAGATTCGTGAAGCTGCAGGTGTCTCCAATGTTCTATATATAATTCAGCTAACCCTAGGACCCAGTGGCAAGAACAGTCACTTAACACCTCAGTTCGACAAGATATACAGTGGAATAATATTGTTTCTATATATGCCTGCCTATTCATTATATCCTGGTAAGCTCTTGATATTGGTTGCTTTGAATACGAAAAGATATGTACGGAGACGTAGTAGCCGTTAAAGTAAAACGTGGCTTTTATTATATGAATATGCATAACGTCTTAAGGGCTTTTGCCTGAAGCTTAAAATAGCCTCACAGTAGCCGGTATAGCTCTATTCAATTTGGAAAGAGTGCTTAAAAGGCTTTATATTCAACTAAAGACTCTTACACCACTGTCTACGAGACAGTTGGCCAAGTAGCCGACTAACGAATTCAGTTCTTATTATACCTCATGCTATAAAGCAGCTTAAAATTTAAAAAGTAGGAAACGACAGTCAATCTCACTCACGGCTCATGAACAGAGTCCTAGCCCTCCTAGGAACTCTACTTTTACTCTGTTGGTAAAAGGAGTTGAATTAGTCCTTCATGGTATAGCTCATGGCTTTTCGCTCTACACATGAAGATCAAACCAGAAGCAAAAAACGCTCTACTGGGCAACGAGCTATTATCGAGGCTCCCGACCACCTTAAGACATTAGGAATAGTGGGGATTTGAACAGGTAACAAATATATACGCCGAAACTTGAAAGCATTTCGAACCCAACCAGCCCTAATAAAACAATCTTCCCAACGTCTCATTAGACCGCATCCTCCAACTCGAAGCAAAGTCCCTCCAGTAACGCCACCTTCACGGCCTCCACATACCCAAGTCCCCCAATTAACCTCACGGTGAGCGTTCCATCACCGCTCGGGATGGCAAAAATCTCCAAAAAGTCCGCTGCTACGGGAACATGCCACATCTCCTTGTGTGCCAGCCTGTCCACCGCACCAGGTACACTGAGCACGGGCGCCTCGTCCACGTTCTGGTACTGGATCCAGCAGCCAAAGTCCTTCGTGTCAGCCGGCCAGTCAGTGCAGTGCTTGACGATGTCGGCCAGGCCCATCGTCTCGTGTGCAAGACTCTGTGCCTGCTGCTTTTGGAGCGTCGCTAATCGCTCCATCTTCGTCTGACCTGACGCGAATTGCACGCGCACCGGGAGACGGTTGAGGCACGGCCCAATGACATTCTGGAGCTCGGCTGGGACACTAGCTCGACCGGAGACTACGCGGCCGAAGATAACGTCGCTGCTGCCTGTGAGGCGGCTGAGCGCAGCGGCGCAGGCTAGCGTGAAGAGGGAGGCCTGCGTGATGCCGAAGGGTGGTGTTGGCATCTGGATAGAGCGTTCCAACACTGTCGGAGGGCCTTCTTTTGTGGAATCTGTTGATGTGCATGGTATCCTGGTCATTGAAGAATTCTGGAGCGTCTTGCGCCAGTATGCGTAGCTCTCGTCCTTCTGCAATTGAATGTGGTGAACGTAGCGGCGGAAAGACTGACTTTCATGTGTCGAGCCGTTGTAGGCTTCAGCCAACATCTGCAGGGTCTGGCTGATGCTGATCGCATCGTAGATGGCATGCGACTTGCTGAAGACGAGTCTTGCTATCCCGTTTTGCCCGCAAATAAGCGTGAACTGTATTAAAGGCGCGCCCAGCCGAGCGGGCGTTTTAACCTCTTCTTCTACCAGCTTCTCAAATGCGGCTTCAACATCAACATCGTCAACGATGTCGATGGTGGGCGCCCAGGAGTCAAAGACAGCTTGTAAGAAGGATTCCCCGGAGCGAACAAAAGCTGTCCGGTAGATGTCGCAATGCGCCACTACTTGCTCACAGCTCTGGACAAGAAGGTGCTTATCTGGGATCCGGGAGAAGTCAATATAGCTGTAGAACCAGGATCGCCGGGGCTCGTGGAGGTTATCCCTGAGATAGGTCGACTGCATGTCTGTTGCGGGCAGAACGTCAATCAACTTGCCGTGACCAGATTGAACGTGTGGCATCACTTGACCTTGAACAAAAGCCCTCGAGTCTGCCGCGTCTAGCAAGGCGAAGCGTGACGTTTCATTTACATTGTCGAGCCCAGTGTCCTGGTCTGTCTCGAGAAGGTCAGCGATGCGCGCCTTCGTCAGGATATTCGCGACGGTGAGGGAGATCGCCTGCTCACGCGCGAGCGAGGCCAGTCTCATGGCGCTGATCGAGTCGCCTCCAAGCTGGATAAAGTTGCTGTCCATTCCGAAAGACTCCTGATCCCAGGAAAGCACCTGTGCAACCAGTGTATGGAGCTTCCTCTCCGCCGCTGTCTCTGGTGCACGTCGCTCAATGCTGTTGACCTGCAGAAGATCCTCCTTGTGCATGGATGACGCCGCCTTGCGCAGCTTGCCACGGTCGACCTTCCCGGACGTCGTGTTTGGGATGCTGTCCACAAGCAGGTAGGCATTCGGAATCATGTAGCTTGGTATTGTGGCTGATAGGTGAGCCTTGGTAGAAGCAGCCAGGTGCTGGGTATATGCACGCGCTTCCGGTGTACCAGGAAGAATTCCCTTGTCAGTCGGCTTGATGAAGGCGACAAGAGCCCATTCACCGGAGTCGGCGAGCTTGACGATATCCACCACGACCTGAGATACTGTCGTCTCCGTAATTGCATCAAACACATGGTGCCCGATCTCTTCTAGCTCTACACGCTGTCCGCGGATCTTGATCTGGGCATCCTTCCGTCCGATAAACTCCAGGTTGCCGTCTTCTTCGTAGCGTACCAAGTCTCCAGTCCGATACAGCCGTCCCTGTCGACCGGCAAAGCCCGGGCCGCCTTGAATGAGCCATTTCGGATCCTCAATGAATGATGCCGCTGTTTTTTCCGGCTCGTTCAGATATCCCTGTCCGACCAGAGGGCCTTCCAGCCACAGCTCACCAATATCGCCGATGGCGGCCAGTGAGTGACCGTGCTCTGGTTCGACGATCCATGTTCGGACTCCGAGGCCTTTACCGATGATCACCCGGCTGCGTGCGGGATCGAGAATATGCGAAATAGAGATGGGTGTGCATTCGGACGGGCCATAGGAGTGGATGATTTGCGCGCGGTCCTTCCAATAATGAATTTCGTCGCGCGGCAGGTTCTCCCCCCCGTAGTTGATGACTTGCAGATCGGCTCCATGCAGCAATTTGCCTACTGTCGGGGTGATGAATGCAGTGTTCGCCTGTCTGCGAGCAATGGCTTCCTTGGGCTCGTTTTGGATCTCATGCTGGGATGGGACGCAGAGACATCCGCCGGCGCAAAGAGTATACAGCACATTGAGCCAGGAGACGTCGAAGGCGTACGATACGAAGTCGTATGCACGGGTATGCGGGCCAAACTTCAGTGCCGTTTGGCCGTGCTTGAGCGCGCTGGTAAAATTCGAGTGGCTGATGATGGCGCCTTTGGGAATGCCCGTTGAGCCGGACGTGAAGACCACATAGAGCCATGTATCTGGGTCTACCGCTGGCAGCTGCGCATCTTGCGGTCGGATGAACGCCGGCTCCTGAGCGTCACTCACGACGATGATCCGAGCAGTCGACGGAACTACACTTCGTGCTCGAGATTCCTGTGCTGCCGAAGTGAGGATGATTTGCGGCTTGGCTAAATCTATTACCGTCTGTACACGGCCGTCCGGAAGCGTTGTGTCGAGCGCAACAGAGGTCGCATTGGCTTTCATGACGGCGATTTGGCACACCGATGTCCATTTTGACTTTTCAAACATTAAAGGGACGATGCGTTGGCCGCTCTGCGGGAGGCCCGCGCGGAGAAGTTCATGGGCAATGCGCGTGGACAACTCCTCCACCTGCCCATATGTGAAGTTGCCATCCCATGAGCAAACTGCGGCAGCGTCGGGCTGCCTTGCAGCGACTTGGCTGAAGATCTCGTGGACTGTTTCACCGCATCTGTCCAGGGTCGTATCATTCCAGCGCCAGATCTGCTCTAGATCTCCCAGGCTGCTGGTATCGAGCAGAGAAAGTGGCTGAGCCTGGACCCAAGGCAAAGAAAGCTGCATGAAGATATTTTGGAATCTGTCAGCAAGCCGGCGGAACTGTGTTGGAGACACGACCGTAGAGTCGTAGTCGGCGCGTAAACCGACACTATTCGGCCGGAGGACGAACTCGAGGCAGATGGCATAGAGTTTGAAAGGGTCAACATCATCTACTGCCGTGGCCACTGGGGCTGATTCGAACAGGGCACCTTTAGCGTCGTGCTCAAGTCTAGACTGAATGACCATGAGCGATTGGAATTGGCAGCCAAGGTTACAGTCCTCGCTGAAACGCCGGATCTTCTGAAGGCCAACTTGTTCGAATAGCATCATCTCTGCGGCTTGTATTTGCACTTGCTGCAGCAAGTCTCTGACTGCCTTTGAACGATCAATTGCCACGCGCAGTGGCACGGTGGCCATGGTCGGTCCAGTCATGCGCTCAATGCCTGGTACATTTGCTTGCCTGCCGGACACGATGGCACCGAACGAGGCATCTGCAGAGCTGGTGATGGTCGAGAGGAGGATGGCCCAAGCCAATCGAATCCTTGTGGACGCTGTGTACTCGCCATTTGGAGCCACGTCGTCGATGTCAAGCTCCAAGTGCTCATCACATTTTGGCCTATAGGCCGGGAAAGGCAGAACAGGAAACTTTTGGGCGTTAAAATCGCGGAACTGATCTTTCCAGAACTCCTGCGCCTGGCTTTG